ACACACACACAAAATAATAAGTGAAATATCAAAAAGTTTCTTTTTACAGTAGATTGACGATATTAGAGAGATCCTAAGTTGGCCAAAATGCAAGGATTAAGTGGCAGTGGGTGCCCAGCACCAAATGGGACATCTATAGCATGTCCCTTACATTAAAAGTTAGGGAACATCAGGAAGAGGGGGCAGAGAGATTATAAGAGCCTGAGACCTAGGATGACTGCTGAGTGTCAGTGTATTCTGAACAGGACAAGGATGTTGCCCCATGAGCTCTCAACAGCATAGTTGTCAGTACAAGATCTATAAAGTCAACAGTTATCAACGTGCCAACATTGACTGAAGGAAAACTTCACAAGGCCCCACATCTGGATGAAGAGCTACAAATAATCAATGGCTTCTGAAAGAGGGAGAAGCAGAGTTTTTTGTTTGTTTGTTTGTTTTTCAAGAATTAGACCTCAATCTTAAATGCTTAGCCCCAAACACATGCAAATAAGGGCAGCACTGGGCACCACTAACCGGAATATATATATTTGTAACATTTCCATCTATGTCCCTTCTCAAATTTATGACCATGTACATATATACATATGGCTGTAAATTTGAGAAGGGACACAGGTGGAAATGATACAAATACAGTGTAGTCATGTATGAAATCTTCAAATAAATTTTTTAAAAAGTCTAAAAACACAAGTAATCTTAATAGTAGATAAAAGTTTATCTCTGTCTCTGTCATGTAGCTTACCCCATCAGAGATATCCATCTGTAAGAAACACGGGACAGGAAGCTGCCTTTCAGAATGATTTCCATCATTCCCTTTATACAGGTGAGAGCTCTTCCTGGTTTTGTAAAACTATTTTCAAAGAGAATCCAATACCCACAGCCTGCATTGTCTGCCTAAGGTGCAGATCATATAGTGTCTTAGAATATGTTCTGACTGGACTCTAGAACAATGGCATTCCACTTTCCTGAGAAGATATCCAATGAATACTGGGCTATTTCCAGGCAAAGGTATGCATCTCTCTTATTTTTTATTCACAGCTGTTGCATTGCATTATAATTTTGATTTTCTGATTTTCTAGGCAACACATCACTCACCAAGGGGATCACCAGATTGTGTCTCCAGTTCAAACCAATAGTTCAGTCACACACAGCAGCCATCTTGAACCAATTACTTTCCCTCAAGGGGCACAGAGAAATCTTCAGAGTTTCATAAGAGGGGAGCCAGTATTTCTTGGGGTATTTTAATGACATTAAGTTTAAGTTGGCATCCTATTCCCCTAATATTACTCTCAGTCAGTTATTGTTTATGTAATCCTTTAATGAAGCCATGGAAATTTATGAACTATTTAGTTAGATGACTTTGCACACAACTTCTATTCAGGCTGTCAGTGTGTCCAGCATGTGGTACTGCTGGATGTAACTTGAGGTTTGAGTTTCTAGAATTCTTGTAGTTAGAGTTACTCAGACCTCAGAGTGTGAAGATATTTTCACTTAGAACAGTATTTATTTCTCCTTTCTCAAGACTTCTTTTCTTCTAGGTGAGCCAGATTCTGAGTGGCCAGATAAATATTTCCATCTGGGTTGTGTTAAATATCTCCCATTTTCTGATGGATTGTATTTGAGGATCCTGGGTTATATTCAATCAAGCTACACAATCATATTGGGACCCATTTTTGTAAGTAAATAGACATTGTTTTGAGTTCTCTCTCTTTTTCTACTTTGTTAGTGTATACAAAATAATGAGCTGTGAAATTTTCAGACAGGCATGTAGCACACTTTGTTCACATTCCCATGTTCCCAAAGCCTCTCTTGTCCTTGTCAATTCTCTTCATTCCCAACCAGTTCTCTTATTAGTTTTGTGTCTTTATTTTAAATCTAGACTCTACATGTGAGAAAAAACATGTAACACTTAACTTTTTTGCCTTTTTATTGAACTTTTGCAAACTTCATGCAATATATTTTGATCATATTTAGGTCCCTTCTCCCATTGGCCAGGGATATTGCCTCTACTAGATACCATAGGCTACAAAAGCTATTGATCTGGGGTCCCATAGGCTTTCAAACAACGCTAGCCATTGCCCTTGCTCTTGGTTACCCACCAGAACTTGATGGTAAGACCCTGTTGGTGAAGACACAGCATACATGAGCTATAGAAAAAAACAAACAAACAAAAACAGAACAAAACAAGAAAACAAGGAGAAATCAAGCTGGTGCTTCAAAGCTTCATCTCTATTGGCTAGTGTTCATAGTCATGGAAGGTGCTATGAAAACTACCTGAAGAAAAAAGTAATCATCAACCTTACCCAGCTGTGAAACCTGAGAGGTACAAAAGCAATTGGCCTGACAAGATAGCTAACTTTTTGAGTCTAGATTGTTTTGTGTCACGTGATCTCTAGTTCCATCCATTTTTCTAGAAAACTTGATTCCATCCTTCTTTCCAGTTTAATAACACTTCACTTTGCATACCAATTTCTATATCTACTCATTTCTTGATAGCTAATCTCGTTCCATTAATTGGCTACTGTGAACTGTGACATAATCATCAAATGTAGGCAGGTACCTTCATTGTATAGTGACTCTGACACCTTCTGGTATATTTTCAGGTGAAGCATAACTGGATTACATAGTAGGTGCAGTTTTAGAAGAACCTCCATACTGTTCTACATAATGTGGCAGCTGATTTTCATTCCTACTAACAGCATATAAGGGTTTCTTTACACCACATTCTTGCCAGCATCTGTTTGTATTTGGTTTTTGTTTTCACTATTATTCCAAATTATTATTATACAAGGTTACACAGTGATTTTCATGCAAGTACATAATATACTTTGAGGATATCCCCTATATATCCTCTAACCTCCCCTTTTCTCTCCTCCCCCCCAATTAGTACCCTTTGTTCCACAGTTTAGCTTCTACTTTTGTGCAATCATTACATACATGATTTTATGTATCTATGAAGAATAAGCATCAAAAAAGAGAGAAAATATGCAATACTTGTGTTTTTGAGGCTGATTTGTCACTTAATACTATTGACTGCAGTTGTATTCATTTTCCTGCAAATAACATAGTTTTATTCTTCTTCATGGTTGAACATTTTTAATGTGTATTTTTATTGAATTTTTGTGCATTTCATACAAAATATCTTAACCAACTTTATAACTTTCCCCCACCAGCACTCCATATAGCCTCCTCTCACATTTCATGCATTTGGTCATTTATATTAGGGTCTATCGAGTCATGTTAGAGTACCCAGATGTCCCTCAGCTCAAGTTCATCCACTAGGGTCTAGTCAGCCTAGCTAGACTCTCACCCTTAAAGAAGATCATCTTGGGGGCTGGAGAGATGGCTCAGCTGTTAAGGACACTGGCTGTTCTTGCAGAAGACCTGGGTTCAAATCCCAGCACCCACATGGCAGCTAACAACTGTCTGTAACTCCATTTCCAGGGGATCCAACAGTCTCTTCTATCCTCCGTGGGCATTGCATGACACAGGTGCACTTACCTACATGCAGGCAATGCATACATAAACATAAAAATAATAAATAAAATTTTAAAAAATATTATTTCTTCCTTACCCAGCAGTAGTCAGCTGCCAATAGTTCTTCAGTTTACATTGGGGCCTGCTGCCCATTTCCCCAGCTGTACTGGGTTTTTGTCTGATTGAGCTTGCATGGGTCTTGTACATTCTGACACCACTGCTGTAAGTTCATATGAGCAACTTCCTAGAGACCCGGAAGACTGTTTCCTTATGGTCATGTGCCTCCTCCTCTGGCTCTTACAACCTTTCTGCCCCTCGTCTGCAATGGTCCCTGGGCCCTGGGCTGGTAAAAGTTCATCTTAGGAGTCCTGTTCCAGGACCCACACTCTGCAGTCTCTTATTCTCTATACTTTGACCATTTTTGGTTTTTGTGTGCAATCGCCCTGTTACTTGAGGGATCTTCATTGATGAGAGTTGAGCAATGCATTAGTATTCTCTCTACCCTTTGTTCCACTATGTTCCTTGAGCCTTAGGTGTAGAGGTTCCATGGTAGATGTGTCATTTATGGTTGTGCAGCTCACTGCTACTTATTTCAATAAATGAAAGTATTTTAAAACATATTTGATCATAAATACTTTAAATTATTTGCAATTTCTAATACCGTAGAATACTGAGAAGCATCTGGTTTTAGAAATATAATTAGAGATGATATGCTCCTAGACTAACTCATTTACTTCATTATTATACAGTATATCCTATCTGGAACTCTCTCAATTATATCAGGAAAGAAAATGGCAAAGAACTGGTAAGTTTCTCATCCATCCAGTTTCAGTCAATTAAGAAAAGGAAACACATTATAATTCCCTCACTATCAAACCCTCAGTTTTCCCTTTACTGTTAATTTGGGTCCCAGAATAAAGTTTTCCCATATCCCATTTGGGTAAATTTGATGAAGTTTAATACACATTCTGCATAACTATTTATAAATTTCAATTTTAGATACATATTTATTTTATTTGACTTTTACTTTTTAATTTGTGAGCATCATATATGAGTACAGTCTTTGCACTATTTCCATCCCTCCCACTTGCCGTCCAGCTCCTCCCACATCCCCCTACCCTACTCCCTCTCAATTTCCTCTTCCTTCTTTGATTATCATTGTTACATATACATACATATATATATATATATATATATATATATATATCACTCAGTCCATTCAGTAGTGTTCCTTTGTACCTGCGTTTAGGGCTTCCCACTTGGGATTACACAACATCTCAGGGAGCTGGTGCCCGGAGAAAACTGATTCTCCCTCCCTCAGGATCCATTGATTGCCTGTAGCTCTTCATCTTGAGGTGCAACTCCATAAAATTCCCCCCATCCATCTACCTTGGTACATCAGTTGCTTTTGTTATCATATGCAGATCTAGTTAGACTCCCATACTGTGGAGATTTCACTGGTGTAGCTCCCTATCATGTCTAGAATGCCTTAAGTAGCAGCAGGTGCTTACCCCTTTGGCTCTTACATTCTTTCTGCCTCCCTTTCTGTGATGTATTTTGAGACTTCAGTGTAGAGGTTGCATTGTAGAGGTCACGTAGGCCTGGGCACCTCACAGACACATATTCTCTGCATTTGACCAGTAGTGGAACTTGATCATAGTCTCCATCTGTTGCAAAAAAGAGCTTCTTTGGTGAGTAGTGAGAGGTCCACTTGTCTATAAATATAATGATATGTATTTAGAATATAGTAAGAAATTGGGTTGGTCTAGGGATGTGACGAATGTAGGCTTTTCTCTAGGGCTGTGCCAACTGCAGCCATATGTACTTGGCTGTGTTGCTGTACCATGCACAAGTTCCCTCCCATTGAACAGGCCTTAGGTTCATTGAGAGATCTGTTGTTTACCCACAAGATAAAAGTGCCACTACTGCACCAATAAGTTTACAAAAATGACCACACAGTTGCGTTTGCTTGTGGTGCTCTGGAGAATGTGAATATCATCTGTTTCCTGGTTCTGTTTCAGATTTGTGGCAGCCTAGGCATGAATGCTGTGAGTGCAGTTTTGGCAGGAGCCTCAGTGTTCATCATTATCATTATTTTCCTTAAGTATCATACAGTAAATTATTTACAAACCTTTCCTACGAATGTATTTCCATATACAGGGACTGAAGTTCTTGGTATTTTTATATACACAAATTCCTAGCAAAGTTTATCTTCATCTCAGCTAACAGAACAAGTATTAGAACCAAGTAACAACTGAAGATAGAGATCAGAACATTTTACAGAGGGATGCTTTCATTGGTGCTGCAAGGTATTGGTATTCAGCTTTAAACACAGTGTATTGAGCTAAATAAAACCTTTAGCTAAAAGGAAAATACAAGGGGTGATGAGGTCTGGGAGGACAGTGTGTACCACACTAACAGGAGAACCTGTGTTTGGATCATCAGCACCTGCATTAAAACCTTGGTGTGCTGGCATGTCCCTGGGATACCAGCACTAGGAAAATGGATAAAGGAAAATCTCTGGAGCTCAAGCTACTATCGCCAAATTGGAGAACTCTGGATTCAGTGAGAGAACATGTCTTTAAAAAATTAAGGGACAGCAGAGGCTGGAGAGATGGCTCAAGATTAACAGTGCTTACTGCTATCTCAGAGGACTGGAATTTGGTTCCCAGCATCCATGGAAGGAAGCTCAGAATAGCCTGTAAATCAAGCTCCATATGATCCAACACCCTTTGTGACTTCCTTGGCAGCCACAGGCACTTACACACCAATAGATGCACGCACATAATTTTTGAAATCCTAAAAATTACTAAAGAACAGTGAATGAGGTAGACACTCAATGTCAACCTCTGGGTTCCACATAGACATGCGCATGCTTATGAATACACACATGCTTTCAGTACACACATGCATATGCACACTAATTCATATACCACACAGATACACACAGACACACACAGAGAGACAGAGAGAGAGAGAAAGAGAGAGAGGGAGAGAGACCCCAAGTATACCGATAATTTTTATTCTGAGCTTCCTTAGTGTGAAAAGAAGAGAATTATTTTGACATCTGTGTTTTATTCTGAATCATGCGGGGGAATGTCTGGAATTCTGTATAGAGAAAACATTTTTACGCCAAATAAATGCAATACAGTGAAGTGCAGGATTGATACTAATTCCTTGTAGTTATAAATGGATTCTAAAAATATTCTCAGCAACAGAACTTCAGCACAAGGGGCATTGCAATCTTGAGCACTTCTGTGACTATGGCTATATAATATAAACCAAGTGACAATGGCATTTTTATGTTAATTATGAGACTGAGGGTGCACCTCTGAGAGTCTGTGTGGTACAGTGGTCAGTATTGTGGCATCTTATGTGGAGACTTTTGAGGGAATCCAGAATGGGGTACTGAACCAGACCTGCTGTGCCTATTGGGGAGCAATGGCAGCAAGCCACTCCTTGGTAGGGGCTCCCTCAGCTCCATTCTTAATTCTCCTCTCCTGGGTGACTGTGACTGACAGGGGACTCTGATAGTGATATTCATCCTCACACTGCTGGAACTCTGCATCCCTGTCTCTGTCTGCATTTGGGTGCAATGCTGTCTGCTGTGATGTGACCTCAGTAAGTGTCTCTGGTCTAGAGGACTTGGAATGCCCTCAGCCATCTTCCTTTTTACCCCTAATGCTCAAAGTAGGAGACATAGAATATCGAGTACTCAAACCATTGTTTCATGTGACAAGTCTGTGTGGGATTCTCCTACCATTTCACTTTTCCTTCAGTTATAGGCAAAACATTACACCATATGATATAAGAGGAATATAAGATAAATTTTCACTGCTGGGAGGTGGCTGTGGCTTCCAGGCTCCTGGTGTGGCCCCCTCCTCCAAGCTACAGTTTAGGGAACAGCAGGATTTATTGGGCTTGTTAATGGAGCATATGGTGGCGGTGAGGGGGTACTTACAGAAGTAAGGGCACCCTTGGGCTTTTTTCCCTACATTCCAGCTGCAGCTTCCTGACCCGCGTCTGGCTGGTCCAAGATGGCAAAGCATCTTCCTTCTCTTTGGCTTCCTGTGTTCCTATCATTAGTCCCGCCCCATCATGCAATTAAGGCTGGCTGATTGGGTGGGAGGCGTGACTCTCTCTGCCCCTCCCCTCCTACAGAGAGTCTTATACTCCAAATAGTTTGAGGCAAGCAGGTGAGAAGCTAGAGAAGGCATCTATCTATGCTTGCCAGTCTGGCTTGCCACTTGGAGGACAAGCTCATCTAACTAGAAGTTTCATGTATGGTTTTGGTTTTTGTATCAGAGAAAGAAAAATCCAGACACCAAGAAAATCTGTAGCACCTGAGGAGACCCAGGACCACGGGCAACTGTTTCTATGGCTTATCTGCTGTATCCTGTCTCTCCACAGGTGGTGATCGACATATCCTCCGAACAGCAGGACTTCTCTATGCAAGCTCCATATCATGAATATGATGAGGTGGCTTTCCAACCTCTTAAGTGGCTTAATATATCAGCTTAATATGTCAACCCTGGTGTTTTGTTTTTTCAGCATTCGGTATGTCAGGGCCAGATAATATTGACGAAATAAATGTTTTCAGGAAAATGAGTTTCCTGTTGTTAATTTTGCTGTGTCCTCTTTGTCTACCCTGAAATATGACTAACTTTTACCATGTTAAATGAAACAAGTAATTTATCTGGATAAAACTAGCAAAATCTCATTTTTACAACTTAAAAGTGTAGGGAAATTTGTAGATGTTTAAGACTCTGTTCTGTCCTTCAAGAACATGTGTTAGGGTGAATGAGTTGTTTGATTTCTAGGAATCCATTCACCATTTTATTGTAAATATTTAAACCATCTCTTATGATATTTTAAATGTACATACACACAATGAAATGGTTACAACAATCAAGCATATTAATACATTAATTATCCAATCTTTGCCTCTTCTTCATGATAAGGTGACCTAAACATCAAGTATTCATGCTAATTTCTAATATTTAATATTCTTAACTATACATCTCCAGAATTTTTTTGTCACACTGCTGCAACTGAATACTGCCTCACCCCCATATCAAAAGCACTTCCCCTCTTGTTAATCACAATTTTGCTCTCCTTTTCAATGTACATTACTTTTCACTTTATTGTGGAAATAAGCAAAATCATGCAGTTTTTCTGTGTTCTGATAATTTCCCTGACTATAATAACTGTTAGGTTTATTCATGATGTAAAAAATGACACTTCTTTCCCATATTATATAGTCTTTCATTCATTCAAATACTAATATGTCTTTATTGATGGATAACATGATGTTGTTTTCATATCTTTGGTTTTTAATGATGCAATAAACATAGGAGTAAAGTGGCTTTGTGAGATGCTGACTTCCTTTCTCTTTATATATCTAGAGTGAGGATTGCTAACTAATATGACAGAACCATTTTTTTTTTGGTCTTTTTGAGACAGGGTCTCTCTGTAGCCCCAGATGTCCTGGAACTCACTATGTAGACTAGGGTGGCCTTGAACTCACAGAGATTCACCTGCACCTGCCTCACAAGTGCTGGAATTAAAGGTGTGCACCACCACGCCTGGCTCGACAAAACTATTTTTATTTTTTGATTTTTAATTCTGTTTCTTGCGAAGCCTACTCAAGCTTGTTTCCATCAATACCACACAACCATTCCATCTTATCCATGTTCTTATCATCATTTCTTATTTTGTTACAGAGATTCACAGGTGTGAAGTGATATCTCATTGTGGTTAACATTCCCCTGTTCTTAGTGTCTGTAATCCGTATTTTTTTGATATGTCTTTTGATCATTTGTCTGAATTCTATTGAGAAATTTAAATTCTGTTTCTTTTCCAAAATTTAAATAAACTAGGCAGAAGAGATAAGGAGGGTCACTTCTTACTCATTAAAAGAAAAATTCTCCAAAAAGGCATTAGAGTTCGAAACACATAGGCACCAAACACAGGTGCAACCAATTCATAAAACAAGTACTACTTGATATAAAATCACAGATTTAACCTCAACACAGTGATAGTGGGTGATTTACTACCTCACTCTCACAATAGGTCATTTGGACAAAAACTAAACAAAGAAACTTTAGAGTTAAAGGACACTGTAAATCAAATGGACCTAGCAGCTATCTATAGAACACTACAACCAAGCACTAAAAAAATGCATATTCCATAAATAAAAAAGAAGAAACTCTTCTAAATTCCTTTCATGAGGCCAGTATTACCCAAATTCCAAGACAGACAAAGACTCAAGATCAAAAGAGAATTATATGGCAATATTCACGATAAACACAGACGTAAAAATTCTCAATAAAATATTTTCAAACTGTATTCAAGAGCACATCCAAAACATTATTTATCCTGATCAAGTCTGTTTCACCCCAGAATTGTAGGCAGGGATGGCTTAACATACTTAAATCAATGAATGCATTCTACCACACAACTATACATAAGGACAGAAACTACACAATCAACTTTAGATGAAGAAAAGGACTTTGACAAAACCCAACATCCAGTTGTGATACAAAACATGGAGAATCTAGGG